GGCAGGCGCTTTGCCGCTGAGCTAAATCCCCAGCCCCTAACGTTTTCTTTCTTATTTATTAGTACATGTTTGTACCACATAATGGTTATATTCATCATGGGGAGTTGGTACATCAGTGTCTCTCATGTTTCAGAAAAAAAAAGCCAGCAGTCCCAGATTTAAAGCTGGAGACATGGAAAGCCAAGGAACTAGGACAAAGCATTACTAAAGTCTTTGTGCCCTATTTACTGTTACCTTGAAGTAAATAGAGTTTTAGCCAAATATGGAACATGAACCATACACAATGCTCTCATAATAGACAGGGGCTAAAAGTTGTGAGAAATGGATATCAAATAGATAGCATGCAGGCCGGGTATGGTGGCACATGCCTGTAATCCCAGCACTTGGGAGGCTGAGGTAGAAGGACTGCCATGAGTTCGAGGCCAGCCTGGGCTACATAAGTGAGTTCAAGGCCAGCCTGCACTACATAGCAAGACCCTGCCTCAAAAAATCAAAAACAAAAACAAAACAAAACAAACAACAAGAAAAAAAAAACAGAAAAATAAAATATATATGTAGTGAAAATCACAGCATTACTATTAGTATCTTCTCATCTACTATCACAGAAGTGAGTGGCTGAGAAATTGTTTGATGATATAAAGGGATCTTAATTTTTTGTTTTGGAGGTTAGAACAGTTTTACTGGAAAAAGAGAAGAAAAATACCTCCTGAAATTCCAGAAGGAGTCTCACGTAGGTGGATGCACAACCCCCCAGCTAATTATAGGTAAACAGAACCAAAATTGCTCAGTTGTTTAGTGATCACAGGTGGTTCTATGGATTGAAAATGACCAACTGGAAGTCAGGCTTCTACCCCAGTTCTTCAACATGTAGGATTGAAAAGAAACTGGGATCTTAGGCGCAAAAAAACTGGTTAACGTGCATTATAATTGTCTCCACATTCAGGAGCTTGGTAGAGAGTGGCTGCGCCTCGCTTTAGTAGGGGTGAGCTGCATTCCATATTGTCTGAAGTTCAGTCTTTGTCCAAAGTCTTAGTTCACAGTCTACCCTTAATTTTTATCAGTATAAACTGGTCACCCAACTCTATCTGCAGCCCTTCCAGTAGCTAGCTGCTTTAAGCATCAGTAAACTAAATAAACTATTTTCTTCATTTTCCCCACTCTGAAGAAGTATTCTGATCTGCTTATATGTAGTACCTTTGATGTATGTAGTACCTTTGATGCTATGTATATATGTAGTACCTTTGATGAAGGAAAAAACTCTTAAATTATTGTACACAGAAAATAATAGACATTGCCTTTATACAACTGATTTTTTGATATTTCCTTTGGTTGTCTAACAACCTGCATGAAAACATGTCACCAACTTTTAGAATATCTTTACTCTTATCAACAGATTTAAATTAGTCTGCTGTTAAGCTATGTGAACAGTAAACATTTGGGATAATACAGATGAGTGTCCATCCACCTATAAGCCAATTTAAGTAAAACTTTTGGAGGATTATATCTGAAAGTTAATACACAGAAACCTACATATTAACCTAAATCATATATAGCCTCTACGTTATCAAAACTGAAGTCCTATCAGCCTCCACATCTGGCAGTGTTTTGAGTTTGGCTGTGCTGACAACCAACACAACCAATTTTACATGGAAAGTCCAAAACATAAAAAGAAATTGCTGAGCTTGAAAAATGGTTTTCTAAACAAATCAGCTGCCAGTGCTTTAACCAGTTATTAACTCAGATTAAAAAGACAGATGCACAAACATACACAAGACAAATACGTTTAAATCAGACTGCACCCTTAGATGCATTAGTCAAATTGAACTACAGTAATTCTTTCATAGTTTTTCATGTGTATGTATAAGTAAACTAGTCAGGACTTTTTCTATAGGTCATCAATTAATGGAACTTTTGTAATAAATTAATACCAACAAGAATCAGAAGAACAAAGAAAAATCATCCCAAATACTGAGACCTCCCCCTAGATGGTAGCTACTGGATGTAAAGGAGAATTGACTGTGATCATGGTCACCCCATTGATCACCAGGGTTGATTTGGCTGATTTGGCAGGCGAGGCTGGTGTCCCCTTCCTCCCTCACTGTTCCGTGTATGTCCCTCCCAAACCTGCACACCCAGTGGGAAAAGATGAGCACTCCTGATAGAGGAGGACCATGTCCTCAGTCAAGGGTATACAAGTACTGCACTCCCCTCCTAGACTTACAGATAAGCTATCAAGGTTTCTTCATTTTTGAAGAGATTTCTGAGTCCTTTTCCACTGGCACTGTGAACTCATAGAATTCCAAAACCACAATACATTTGTTTCACTACTCAAAAAATCTTAGTTTCTTCATACAACAAATATTCATTGCACACTAATTTTGTACCAGGCCCTGGTCATTTGCTAATGGATGATGGTTAAAATGTCTGCTGTAGGGGCTAGGGATTTAGCTCAGCAGCACAGTGCCTGCCTGGCAAGCACAAGGTCCTGAGTTCAATTCCTGGTACCAGAAAAAAAAGTCTGCCCTGGTTTAGGTTATGTTATAGTGTCTGAGATAGAATGAAAAAGACAATACATAAAATAGGTAAATCTGAAAAAGAAAAACCGAAGGAAAGAAAATTGCTGGAGGTGAGATCACTGCCTTGTTTAACATGAAAGTTATCTAACAAAAGCATTATTATTTTGAGTACATGGCTGAAAGAAATGAGGGTGTGCGTTGTTTAGGTGTCTAGAGAAAGAGCATTATGAACAGAGATAACTGCTACAATGAAGACTACATTTAAACACAAGATCACGGCAGTAATCCCAGCACTCTGGGAGATTGAGGCACAAGAATCCCAAGTTTGAGCTCAACATGGGCAACTTAGTAACTCAGTGAAATCCTGCCTCAAAATAATAATTAAAAAATAAAAATACTGGAGCTGTAACTCAGCTCCAAGTCGCTGGGCTCAACCCTCAGTACCACAAAGAAAAATGAATGATGAGCCACAGGGGTAAACTTGAGCAGGAAAAGAGACATAGAGACTAAATTAGGAGATACATTTAGAGGTGGAGAATGAAGGAGCAACCAGCAAAGGAAGCTGAAAAAGACCAGTCAGAAAGGGAAGAACAAAATAAAAAGGGTGCGTGCCCCAGGAGAACATCCTAGAACAATAACTTGCTTCAAATGCTGATGCTATGGTAAGCCTTGAGTTTAGAAATGCTATGGGCAATTTCAGCAGAGTATTGAGACAAAGCATGACCAGAGTGAGTTCTAAAGGGAATGGAAGAGCAGAAATAGAAAACAGGAATTACAGACATGGTCCTCTTGCCATAGAATGAGCGAATGATAGTCCAGGCTCTTGTGTACAGTGAGGAAGAATATTGCCAGGTGTACACCTAGTAGTATCCGGCAAGCAGCTACATTTAAGGTAGATCATGGGATCTGGAGTATTCAAGGCAACTCCAGGCCCAAAAAACATAAGACACTACAGAAAAAGGGGCAGAGGTGACAGAAAAGCACTGTGCACGGGTCAAAGCACACAAAAGTAGCAACAGCGAAAGAGTTTGGCCAAATCAGGCTTTTGGAAGTGGAAGCCCAGGCACCTCCACTTAGATGCCTCCCCCACCTCTCGAGGTGTGATTGACGGGAATGATTGACAGGGTGCTGAGTCATCATATGGGTGCTCAACGTGCATGCTTGTCCCAGAACTCACTCTAATCTTAATTACATTTATGAATACGGTACATATTTATGAACCTATAATGCAGTAGGGGTAGGGTGAAAGTGACCAAAGGTCAGGCTAGGAGATCCAACATGCATGTGCTCTTGCCTAGAGCATCAGAGATCTCCTGGGTTTTTGTTTCTTTCTACCCCTCTTAGGACAATGGAAGCAGAATAACCACAGGGTACTGTTTAGAGCTGAATGGAGGGCAGAGAGTGACTCTCTCAGCTCCACTGTTGCTAACTGCACTAGTAGTGTGAAGAAGAGCAGAAATACAGAGCAGAGGGAGTGTCATGAGCAGACACAAGGTCTACTCTTGAAGCCAAAAGGCCCTCTGAGTTACGTCCCAAAGGAGCCAAAAGGAGTCGGCATATCTGCCAAACAAAGATCCTAAGAGTGGACAACTTCCTGAATGCAGCGCTTCTTGAACTTTTATCACATTCACAGCAAGATCGAGGGGATCTCATCCAGGGCATAAGCAAGAAGCTGGAGGTAGTGCTGATGGTGCAGGATCTTTTCGCTATCTGGCCAGCCTGCTTTCTGAACACAGGGGTGGGGAGGGCGCATGGGCAGCTCTGTAATTTATAGCAATCTGGAGACTGAGCTCTGGAACTTACAGCAGTCCAGAGACTGGTACTGCCGGGGAGCCTAACTGGGCATTCCAGACAGGCAGAATGATGGTCACTCATACTTGCTGAGGTCTAGTGACACGAAGAGCAGTACCTGGGACAGAGTCCACAAGCATGCCACTGATACAGGGATGATATAAGGACCTCTAAATAACATAAGGGAAATACTATACCTCCCAATCTGTGAGATGTCTGAAATGCCAATTTTGTGCTCTCTACAATCAAAAAATTGAGGGGCTGGGGATTTAGCTCAGTGGCAAAGCGCCTGCCTGGCAAGCACAAGGTCGTGAGTTCAGTTCCCGGTACCGGAGAAAAACCAAAAAAAAAAAAAAAAAAAATTGAGACTAGGAATATAGCTCAGTGACACAAGTGCCTGCCAGGCAAGTGCAAGATCTTGAGTTTGATTCCTGGTACCAAATAAAATAATAAAAATAAAAATAATATCAAAGAATGAATTCTAGGAACAAAGAAGGTTCAGAGTAGGGAATATTTATGGAGAGAAAGACATTTCCTGCCTGAAAGACATAGGAGTGGACATCGAGAAATTAGGTGTCCTAAGACCCTGCTCACCAAGGAAAGCTTTATAGAGTAAAACCACAAGGTGGGTATGAAATCACAAGGAAGGTATAAGGTGGACAAAACTATGGTCAACTAATGAGATTACAAGTATAGTCACCTAGGTAATACTGATCCAATGTAAAGTTACAAGGTGGGTATAAGGCAGGACAAAACTATGGCGAACCAGTAAAATGACAAGTACAGTTGCTTAGGTAACATTGATCCAATGAGGAAGCAAGTCACCCAGTGAATGCATCAGTGGAAGAAGGACCTTTCCTGGAAGGAATGGGTCAAGGGAAGTCTTGGCCCATCACCCAAAGTGATTGATGCCTATTCAGAATATAAATCATTGTTGTTTATCCCTCGGAAGTATGTAGGCCTGGCCTTCAATGAATGTGCCTCCAGCCACAGTTGTGATGTGTTCCTATCTTCTGCACTGACTTCTTAGAGGGCCTATCCCTGCCTGACTGCCTATAATATTTCTACCTAACTTAGCTGTCCATAACATCCTCACCTCTGAAGAGGTAACCCTACCTCCGGTAAGCAGGCAAGGGGTAAAGACTGTTATGGGTACTCTGGCAGAAGAGGGTTCTAGTTGTGATTGGCAGTCAGAGATACTCCACAGATGGTTTATTTAAGACCCTCAGTAGATGACAGATGATCTTGTCTTGGAAAGGTGTATAGCTTGAAGTTTGGAGGAGACAAGACCAAAGAAAGAGCTGAGTATTTATTGGCCAAATAATAGGATCAAGAAAATTATTATGAATATAATCAACAAAGGTTTTCAAGAGGAGCCAGTAATAACCTCCCATAAAAGGATAAGGAGAAGGTCCAGGGAATTACAGAATCTGACATGGCATTAACCTGTCATTTAA